TGATGGGGCTGGATGTGCTGGCATCCAGGAGGCGGTTGTGGATGCCCCACTATCAACTTTACCAGTTGGAGAGCCCCGGCAGGGTGTGGGCATTGCTGTGGGGTCTGCAAACTTGGCCATCTCCAGCAGCATCACCCTCGCTCTGCCAGTCACCGGCTCTCAGCACAGGAGCCCACCAGGATCTCCTGGGTGCTCCTGTCCTCCCTCTTGTCACCTCTGTCCCACATCCGTCTCCCCCTTTCCTGGGGCCAGGACAGACCAAGCCTTACCCTGGCCTTAGCCACTTCCCTGTAGCAAAAATTCAGCTGGGCCAACAACTCTACTGAGCTTCAAGCTGGCCATGCAAGATATGGAGTTTATTATGAGACAACTTCAGTCAAAATGAGCTTTTCCCTTCAACTGACCCCAAATTTACAATCCTGGAATGCACAATCCCATGCAATCCAAGCAGACTTTACCCCCGTTGTTATTCAGACCAGCAAGCCTCTGGAGTATCGTGCATGCTAAATAACACCGCTTTCCTCCTCGTTTTCCGTGAGCACAACTGGAGCCCTGGCATAGCAGCCAAAGGAAAGCCTTGTAAAACAAGGCTTCTCATAAATGTCAGCCAGTTACCACCATGGCAGTAAACTGTCTTCTTACGAGGTTTCCTCTGGTAAGTAATGCTATGCAAAATACAGCTTCTCATAAGGTATGTTACTTGGCGAGTGAGATTTTTCTCTATGAAGTCTGTAATAACCAGCTTTCAGCTCAGTTGTAAAGCTACACCAGAGGCTCACAGAAGGGCTTTGCAATGGTTTGCCCTGCTTGGAATAAGAGTGGTGCGGTCGTGTTCACACGGGTGCAGGGAGCCGCAAGCTTGCTTTGCTGGGCTTCCCCAGCACCTGAAACTGCGAGTGGCTGAGCCCCGCTTCGGCATCTCTCTCGTTCTCTTACTGTCACATATCTGCTGCATCCCCAAGATGGTGAGTATGCACTGATATTCCAGTTTTAACATGAGCTTATCCAAGGCAAGAGACAAAGCAGTGAGTTTATTGTGGCAGTAACATGCGATGGCAGGGATGGAAGCACAGTGCAGCTCTCTCCCCTGTTACGCTCCATTGGTTACACCAAAGTTAAAACAAGAGTAAAAGAACGTGAAAGGGGGAAGAGGGAAAATTTTCTGAGATGTTTGACTGTGCTTTAGTGTTTCAGCCAAGTGCTTTCTTTCCATGTGGAGCTGCTTTAGCTCTCCATGCTTTTCCAACCCAGAGTTTCATATCCCCTTAGTGCTCTTGCTGCTTAAAGAAATCCCAAATGCAAACGGCAGTTAACAAGAAGTATCTGAATAAAGTGAAGCTCTGAAATGCAGCACATGATGGTTGTCTAATTGCAAGGCATTTCATGAACATCACTTGCAGAAAGTGAGCGGGAAAGCACACTGCTTTCACATCAGCTTGTCCCCAGCAGTCCTGTCCATCAGCAAAGTGGCTGTCAAAGACCACGATCGTTTTTATAGTTTGATCACGCAGTGTGTGAGCACACAGCAAGGCACGTACTTTATTTCTTTAGTGCCACCTTGTTTCTGTGCCTCTCAGTGGTTTGAACGTTCATGCTACAGGCTAATGACCCCAGCTGGTGGTCTGCAGGCCTTTTCTACCTCGGCTTTTCTGCACAACAGAGGGTGAAGAGCTGCTGCGGGAGCTGAGAGGATGCATCAGCCACTGCACAGCCTTGAGGGGAGAAAGAGACCCAGCACTGGTCCCTGCTCCCAGTCCCTGGTACCAACACAGATGGTGAAGGATCCTCTGGTTTTGGAACTGGAGGCTCCAAGTTTTGTCTTGGGTGATACCTTGAAGCTCAGAAGGACCGTAACATACATTGCTGGAGATCTGCAACAGTATTTCCTTCTGTAGGCAGGATGCCCAGTCATGGGGCTTTTCACTGCCCTTTGAAAGAAATGGTGCTTTCCAAGAGAAAAGAAAAGTAAGTAGAAGACAGACTTCCTACTTGATGTAAGCTAAAATATGACGGTCCTACCCTCCCTCCTTTCTCCTTTATTATTCCACCAGGTGTCTGAAGCCCACGCTGTGCGCTTTTTTGCATCATCAGATCAATACAAACCCTGCTAGTTTGTCAGAGCAAGAAACAGGAGCGTTTCAAAGCACAGCAAGAAGGAACTGATTTAGCACAGTCTGTCTGCATGAAAGATGCTGCTTCTGACGCTTTGCAAATTGGCTGATCTGTGGAATCTGCTGCACTGTGATGGATGGGGCTGTGGCTGGCTCTTGGGGGACAAGTCAGGGAACCGCTTCTTCTTCTCTGTGTAACCAGAGAAGGGAAATCAACCCCAGAGCCCTGTGGATGGGAACGTGGGAGCAGGAGGTCACTAAGCATGAGTGGAGCAGCACCAGAGTTTGGATGGAGGAAAACTACAAGGAGTGAATCAAGGTTCTCCTCTCCCAAGGCTCTTACCCAGAGGAGGATGGGGGAACTGAGAGCTAAGAGGCACGAAGGCATGGCTTTCCCTTTACCATGGAAAAGCAAAATCCCAGCAAAGAGACAAGAAACAATGGTTGAGCAGAGCTGTTGACACAAGAGAAGGACACTTGATGTGGCAGGGAAGCGGAGGAGTTTGCTCCTGACTGAGTCCTGGGTTACACCAGGAGCTCAGTGTGTGAGTTTTCCTGTACCAACACAGCCCCCAGTTTCCTTCTGGAGGCCAAGAGCCCTCTAACCTGACTCCAGAAAGTAAAAGGTCAGGTTTCTAGTTTGACCTACCGGTTGAGATGCCCTTGATGCTCAAAGCAGAGGGAACTTTCAGACGTTTCAAGTTAGGCGAGACAATTCCCAGGTGAGCTCCATGGCTGCGCCTGCTACTTGCACATGGTTTGTCCCATACCTGGAGCCGGGCTCTAGCGCTCAGCCCAGTGGAGCCCTCCAACAGCCAGGATGCTGTATCCACATCAACCCCCCAAATTCCCGATGCTTCTCAAGACGTGCGAAGAGATGGGACTGTTACACACTCCTGTTTGCTAGCAGTTCATCCATATGGCGGGTTGCTGCACATACCGGGTGTGAATATGGGCCGCATGCATTTCATGGGCCAGACTTATCACGAACTCAGATGGAAATTATGCACCAATGATTTTTTTTTTTTTTTTTTTCAAAACAGCTCAGTACGTCACATTTTTCTGAAAATCTGCTGCTTCTTTTAATGCCTGCACATGCGGCATGACCCATGAGCGCTTACAGAGCTGAACATGAGTGCTTTTAAAAAGCTCTGTCCTTTGTGTACACGAGTGTGTAAAGACTAGGGATAATGTATCTTCAATACACAAACACAGATGGTGCTTTTTTTTTTTTTCAAAACAGCTCAGTACGTCACATTTTTCTGAAAATCTGCTGCTTCTTTTAATGCCTGCACATGCGGCATGACCCATGAGCGCTTACAGAGCTGAACATGAGTGCTTTTAAAAAGCTCTGTCCTTTGTGTACACGAGTGTGTAAAGACTAGGGATAATGTATCTTCAATACACAAACACAGATGGTGCTTGTAAGGTATGTGAGGATCTGAAGGAACGTGTTTGTGTGGATGAGATGCTGGATTGGTGTGCAGGAGAGCTGATTATACACAAGGCATGCTCTTGGCTTCTGCACCTTGAGGACAGGAAAACTGATGCTGACCTCATTTGCAAAGTGCTCTGAGAT